CGCTGTCGGAGGGTCGGCGCCGAGGGAGCGGGCGCTGTCGGAGGGTCGGCGCCGAGGGAGCGGGCGCTGTCGGAGGGTCGGCGCCGAGGGAGCGGGCGCTGTCGGAGGGTCGGCGCCGAGGGAGCGGGCGCTGTCGGAGGGTCGGCGCCGAGGGAGCGGGCGCTGTCGGAGGGTCGGCGCCGAGGGAGCGGGCGCTGTCGGAGGGTCGGCGCCGAGGGAGCGGGCGCTGTCGGAGGGTCGGCGCCGAGGGAGCGGGCGCTGTCGGAGGGTCGGCGCCGAGGGAGCGGGCGCTGTCGGAGGGTCAGTGCCGAGGGAGCGCATCCCTGGAATCTTTGTCTAATGTTTTGTTTATTCCTCATTCCATCTCTCCCTCTCTATACCTCGTTGTCTCTTTAACCCCCTCCCCATCTCTTCTCCTGTCCTCTCCTTCTCACACTCTTTCTCCCACTCTCTCTCCCTCCCTCTCCCTCTCTCTCCCTTCTCCCTTCCTCTCTCCCACAATCTCTCCCTCCTACCCCCACCCACAGACTGCTCTGCCCTGTACTGGGGCAGGAACTGTAGTCAGAAATGTGCGTGTAGGAACGGGGGACAGTGTGACCCTCTGACTGGCCGCTGTTCCTGCCCCCCCGGTTACACCGGCCTGGTATGCGAAGACCCCTGTCTCCCGGGGACCTACGGGCAGGGCTGTTCGGGACTCTGCCAGTGCCAGAACGGGGCACGGTGCGACCGGGTCACTGGAGCGTGCGACTGCGTCAACGGGACGATTGGCGGACTGTGAGTAGCCTTCAGCATCCCGTCTTGCCACCCTCTCCATCTGTCCCCCTTACTGCACCTCCGAGCGGACTCCATCTCTCTCTCCATCTCTCTCTCTCTTTGCTTTTCATGCCCTCGCAGGAGGCGCAGAGCAACTGATTCACAAACTGCAAAGTTTGACTTAGCCAAAGCAATTGAACGAGGGGAAAATAAACAGGCTTTCTTCACGCTTTCTGTGTCTTTTTTTGTGAGAGACAGCGACAACGCCTTCCTTTCCCAAAGTCCAGAGGCTTCTGATCCAATCGTTCACACCCACAAGCTACTCAAGCACGTTAGGAGATTTAGGGACAAAGTCGCAAGTCAGCTTTTATTTACAAACAACTTAAAGAGAGACAATACGGCTGAAGAGAGCATGAAGGGGGATAATGACATAGAACATAGAACATTACAGCGCAGTACAGGCCCTTCGGCCCTCGATGTTGCGCCGACCCGTGAAACCAATCTGAAGCCCATCTAACCTACACTATTCCACTATGACAAGAAGGTTCAAGCCTGTTACAGAGATATGGCTGGGGTAGAGATCCGCATATTCAATAGTAGATGAAGGCAGCTCGGGAAGGGTGGAGTGGTAGCTCTGTTAATTAAGGATCACATTCGTAGAATGGGGAGAGCTGAGCTTCGTTCTGGACTTTAACTAGAGCGAGACACAAAATAGGGAAGGGAAGACGTCACTTGTGGGAGTTTTTTTCTCGGCTCCCCCAACACTGTGGGGGTCGGGGGTTGGGGTGCGTCCAGGAAGAGACAACGGGAAGCTACAGCAATAAATCATGGGGCCTTTAATCTACTTAAGGAGAAATTCGAATGTGAGACAAACGTTAGGACTGATAGCAAGGGTTTTGTTTAAGATGAGAATGCCGGTCTCAAGAGAGAGAGTCTGGGGCATTAATACGAGGATAAATGGAGCTAATAGGGGCTTTGAACAGCTATTTTGCTTCGGTCTTCATCACGGACAACTGGAGGAAATTTGGGTGCCCTATGGGGTTCTCCAGAGGCCTACGTTTTCTCCTCTCACTCCCTTCTCTCTCTCTCTCCCTGACAGCTGTGAGCACCATTGCTCGGAATCGGGAGGCGAGGGCGAGTGTGGCCCTCCATGTCCGTGTCAAAATGGCGGCAGCTGTCAACCTGGGGGAGGCCCGTGCCTCTGCCCTGCAGGCTGGATGGTAGGTTACTAGGCCGCTGGTGTTAGAGGGGACGGTTTAGGGGGCATTCACCCGCTTGCCTTTGTTTAACCTCACCTAACCCTCTCGGGTTTCAGTGAAGAAAGGCACCTTTCGCTGCTCTGGGCCTTTATTTCCTGTCACAGACCACACCGCAACCCCCCCCCCCCCCCGCCCAAACCCAGTGGCCCCCGCCCCTGTCCGTGTAAACCCCCATCCTGCAGAAACAGAAGGCTGATCCCAATTGGGGTATCACCTCTATCCTTCTCTCTCTCTATTCCCCCCC